GGGCGGCTTCTCCCCTGGGCGATGCCCTGAGGCCCTGGCCTGGGTATTTAGAGTTGCTGGCAGCACGGCCGCAGCTCCCGCGCCACCTCCACAGCTCAAACGCGCGGCTCACTCGCACTGCGCGCGCCGCAGGGCCCGCAAGCACAGCATGACCTGCGAGCACCACAGGACCCGCGAGCGTCACAGGACCCGCAAGCGCCGCAGTGCCCGCAAGAACCACAGGAGCTCTCTGGTCACTTTGACCCTCCTGGGTGACACCGGCTCCTCCAAGGCGGGAGGCGAACGGCAACCCCAGCCCTTGGGTCCGGCCACCCTGGGGCCTTGCGGGGCCGAGGAAGGGGCAGCGATTCCCTCCTGGCTTCTTCTCACAAAGTCCTTCTTCATCTGGAGCAGGGGCTGCAAAAATAGCATTTCTCTCATGTTTTATTTTTCCCTAGATACCAGATGGCCCTAATTCTGTAGGTGTCCACAAACGCACTTTATTTTAGTCTTTCAAGTGAATTTTCTCCTGGATTTTAAAGCAACTACATGTACAAGTAAAATTTGAGCATGGATTTATCGTGCCAGGACTTGGCTTCTTCACACTCTGCGTCACTGCTGCCCTGCCAGTGCTGGATTTGCTTCTCAAAAGTGGTTCAACCTCCTTGGAAAAAAAGTATGTGTTCAAGTGCGCTATTTCCGAAAGGAGGGACCTGCTGCTCCTGCTCAGCGCCGTGGAGAGGGCGATTCCTCGGGGGCCGGGTACAACCGGGCCCTCCTTTCAGCGTCTGCATGGCAGTGAGATGGCAGGTGGCACGTGGACCCTCGCGTCTCACCGTGTCTGCAGGATAATAAAGGTTTGCTGGTGAAGTCGGGGATGTTGCGCCCGGCATTGCGGGTAATGGGCCAAGGCAGCTGCAGGGTTCAGAGCAGCCGGGCGCAGCCTGCAGCGTGGGCTGCAGCGGAGCTTCACGATCGCTCTTTGCCCTTTCTGCCGTCCGTATAACTGATTATTGTTAATATAGTAAATACAATTCACTGTGCGTTGCAGATAACACACTACACGTAGTTTGCCAGGAGATGTTAGTGCAGAAATTGAGGCTGTGTTTCGCACCAGGGCGGAGCTGTGCAGGTTACGTTCTGCTTAGAAGAGTAGATCCCTCGCGCTTTGCCGGTCCCTGCGTGCGCGGTGGTGCGGGTTGCTGCGCTGTTGCTCAGCAGGACCGATTTTATTCAGCGCGTGCGAGTCCTGCCTGCAGCCGCGTTCCCTCTTGTTGTTCGCTCTGCGGACAGCAGGACTGTGAAGCCTCAAAGGGCCTGCTCTATTCCCTTCTCAGTTTCAGCTTTCAAATGTTTTTAATTACAAGTGATTTGATTTAATTTAATTTAAAAAAAAAAAAAACAAAAGACTTCTGTAGAAATGTCCCTGTAACACAGAAAGGTATAATGTACCTTGCTTAACTGGGGAAAAAAGAAAAAAAAAGAAAAAGAAGAAACAAAGTCCACTTGCAAATCACATTTAGAGGATTGCCTAACGTGATTTATAGAGAAACAGGCGTCACTTGATAGGCACTAGGATGAAGGTGAGTTAAT